AGGGGTGGGGGGAGTAGAGTGGGAGATGGGGGAATAGGAAAGGGGGGGCTGGGGTATGAGAATGGGGAACTGGGGGGTGGGGATGGGGGCAATTTGGGAGGGGCTGTGGGGAATAGGGACTATGGGGAGATTGAGGGGTCTTGAGGGTTGGGGAGGAGCTGTGAGGTGGGGAATAGGGGGTGGGGATGATGGGGATTTCAGGGGGGCTATAGGGGGAGAAATGGGGTGCTGAGACCACCCGGTCCCCCACCCCAGGGCTGCAGGTGTTGGTGGAGCTGAACCACAGCGCAGTGCGGAACCACTTCTCAAATGGCCCAACCCGCAGCAATGGCAGCAGTGCCATAAAGGTGGGGAAGATGGGGGGCAGGTGGGGGGAGTATGGGGTGGATGGGGATATGGGGTAGATTAGAGGGTGCGTGTGGGGTAGATGGGGGGGGGGGGGGGGGGGGGGGGGGGGGGGGAGGGGGGGGGGGGGGGGGGGGGGGGGGGGGGGGGGGGGGGGGGTTGGGGGGGGGGGGGGGGGGGCGGTGGGGGGGGGGGGTGGGGGGGGTGGGTGATGGGGGTGGCTGTGAGGTGGGGTGCAGATTGAGAGATGGCTGTGGGGTGGATGGGGGGGTTGTGTATGGTGTGGATGTTGGGCAGTTGTGGGGTGGGTATGGGATGGGTGTGGGGTGGTTGTGGGGCAGTTGTGGGGTGGCTATGGGGTCACCATGGGGCAGGTTACAGCAGTTCTGGGGTGCTATGGGGCAGAATGCTGACCCCCTCCTGCCCCACAGCAAGCGATCGGGGCCTGGCTGCAGCGTGGCTTTGATGGAGTCTTCCTGGATGGCATCGAGGAGCTGGAGGTGTGGGGCAGAATTGTGGGGTGCTGTGGGGCTGCCCTATAGGGCACTATGGGGCAGCGCTATGGGGTTCCGTGAGCCCTGTAGGATTCTGTGGGGTTCCATGAGCCCTGTAGGATTCTATGGGGCAGCGCTATGGTGCTGACTCTTCCCTGCCCCACAGGATTCAGTGTTGGCTGAGTTCCGGAACATCACAGAGCAGTGGAGCACTGATGAGACTCCCAGGTACTGCCCTACATCTCTGCTCCTGAGCACCCCATTTGCCCCATGTTTCTGACCCCCCATTTCCCTATACGCTCCCTGCCCCACATCTTTGACCTCCCAGGCTCCCCCCCAGCCCATTTCTTACCCCCTGCCCCACCCCATCCCCCCCCTATGTTTCTGACTCCTTCCTATTCTCCTCATCTCCCCACCCCACATTTCTGATCCCTACCCAACCCACATCTCTGAGCCACCCATCTCCCCCCACTCCACTTCTCTAACCTCCCCATTTCCCCTCGTCCCCCATCTCTGACCCCCCATCTCCACCCTGCTTCCTAACTCTAACCTCCCTTTAATTCCCCCCGCCCCCCATTTCTGACCCCTTCCAAATCTCCCCAATCTCCTCGCCCCACATCTCTGACCCCCCTTTCTCCCCCCCAGGTTGTTGGTGGGGGGCACACGCCTGCGGGACCCCTCCTCATTGCAGGATCTGCTGAATTCCACGAAGGTCTCCCTGGTTTTGGGGGTGCTGCCCCTGGGACCCCCCCTGGATTCCCAAAATGGCCAAACGGTGTTGGATCCCACCCACGTGGCACAGCTGCTGCAGCTCAGCCAAGGGGGGGTCCCTGTGGTGTGGAGTGTGAGTGGACCCCCCCCCTCCCAGATCTAAAAACCCCTGGGACTCCGCCCAGACCCAAAAACTGGGGACCCTTAGAGCCAAAATCTGGGGGCCTTTGGGATGCCCTCTAGACCAAAAATTGGGAACATGAAAACCTTGCCCTTACCCCCCCCCCAGCCCTCAGAATTGGAGGACATGAACTCCTGGGAGGCCCCCCCGACCAAAAAGCAGGGGCCCCAAACTCTTGGGACCCCTTCTGGACCTTCTGTACCTCTGCTCTTCCCCCCTTCCCCAAAGACACTACAGAAAATAGGGACCCTGGCCCCCCTCACATGCCCAAAACTGGGGAGCACTGACCCCTGGGACCCCCCAGACCCAATTTTGGTGATCCTGAAACCCCCCAGACCCCAGATGGAGGAATGTTGATTCTTGGGTTCCCCCCCAGACCCTAGAATTTGGGCTCCCCAGATCCCAATCCCCCCCCCCAACTCAAATAAAAGGAATGCAGGCCCCTGGGACCCTCACCCTCCCAGCCCCAAATTACCAGTTTCAGAGCTCCCCCAAGATTGTCTCCTCCCCCTCTCCCCCAATTCCACACCATAACTTTGCCTCCCCCCCCCAGGTGGGCACCCCTTGGAAGCACCTGGTGGGGCTGAGCCCCCCCCTGGCCCCCCAAGTGCTGCTGCTGCTGTGGGGAGGGCTGCCCAACGCCCCCACCCTCAACTATGGAGATGAAGTGGGACTGATGGACCCCCAGGGGGCGGGGTCTGATCAGGTGGGGGGGCCCGGGATGGTCTGGGGGAGGGGGGGTTGTGGGGTGGGGTGAGAGATGGGGTTATGG